ACATGCACGGCCCATGGCACCTCTACGCGCCCGCCCCCGTTGGGCCCTGCATCCGGGGACGGCGGAGTGCGTCACACCACGGCCTCAGGCCCCGGGGCCCCCGGGGGCCCCAGCGGCCGCCGCAGGCGCCGCGCCCGCACCGCCCCCCCCGGCAGCTGCCGGGTTGGGCGGGGCCGCAGCCGCCTTAGGCGCAGGGCCGGCCCCTGCTTTGGCAGCCGCAGCCTTGGCCTTGGCGCCCTTGCCCTTCTTGCCCTTACCCTTGCCGCGGCCCTTGCCCTGGATCACGCCAGGCGCCTTGCTCTTGCCCGCGCCCTTGCCCTGGCGCTCGCGCTCCTCGTCCGTGCGCTCAAGGTACATCAACCGACGCACCGGGACGGCCCCTGCAGCCACGGCCGCTGGGGCCACCCCCAGGATCGCCAACCCCGACGCCCGGCGGAGCGGGTGATCCAGCGCCTGGATCGCCTGCTGGGCGCCCAACGACGCAGCTCCAAACTGCAACTTGACCTTGAACACCCCCGGGATGCGCACCCGCGCCCCGGCCGTGGCGTCCCAGCGGCGCTGCTCAAAGACCGCGCGCACCACATTCTCCTGCCGGAGCTCCTCCATGAGGAGACGGAGCCAGGCCGCGGCCGTCAGCGGCCCGGGCGGGTCCGCGGACCGGTCGGGCAAGGGCCACGCCACGTTCAGGTGCGCCGCAACGTCGCGCCCCACGGCCTCCGGAGTCTCCCTGCGCAGATCCCTGTACTGCTGCTGCTCTCCGTGGGTCACCCACACCTGCTCGACCGACGGGAACCCCTCGAGCACAAGGCTCGTGCTCTTCAGGACCTGGCCCATCTGGTTCTGCAGACGACCCAGGCGCCACTCTTGGTCCGTCTGGCGCTCCTCCAGGGCCGCCAGGCGGCGGGCCGTCTCCTCGCGGCGCTGCTGGGCTCCCATACTTGCGCGCTGACACACCCCAATCTGGGCACCTCCTACAAGGCGGTAGAGACTGCCGCCCAAGGGCCCCTCGCATGCTCCCTACCACCACAGACCCCTGGTCCCCCACACCGCCCCACCCCCAACCCCACCAACCCACCCCCAACCAGGGGCCCAGCCGGCCGAGGGCGACGAGGGACCTTCGGGCGATAGCAGTCGACCGGCGGGCGGGGGCCAGCTGTGAGCCGCTGCGGGAAGCGGCGAACACCATCAATGCATCCATGTACCAACAGCAGGGATCGGAGAGGGGGAGGGGGAGGGGGAGGGGGGGCCGTCCTCTCTCATTCTTTTTTCATATTTGTCCTTATGCGGCGGAGATGCGCACGAGAGTCCAGCAATACCACAGTGCAGGGAGGAAGGCTGCAGACCGAACAACGCAAAAACAAGAGACAGCTGCCGTTAGGCACAGAAGTAGGAGGGAAAAACAAAAAACGAAGGCACAAGTAGAGAGGGGAGGAGCAAGTAGAAAGAGGCGACAGGTAGGGCACAGGCCTCGCACAGACCCCCTGCAGTGGGGCCGGGGGGCGGCCAATTGACGAGCTCGGGGCTCGTGTTGGCACAGCAGTGGGCAGGGCGAACCCTGCCCTGGCCGCCCCCGATGCACGGCTCGGGGCCGGCATCGTCACGTGGCAGTCGCCGAGGGGACGCTGCCGTCAGCTGCAGAGAGGAACCGCTATAACAAAGCGCCCACACTGCGAGGCCAGTGCCCCCCCCCGCTACCCCCCCACCCGCCCCCGCAACCCCCCGCCCAAACCACGCCTCAGGCCCTCCTGAGACAGGTTCGCTCCTAGTTGGCTCCCGCCGGGCGTCGCCGGACCCGCCCTCCTGCTCGGAGCGCCGCTTTGGCTTTGGCGTTGGCCCCCAGGGCCAAACCGCCCGCCTTGGCCTTGGCCGCCGCGGCCTTGGCCGGTGGCCCCGCTTTCAATTTAGCTACCGCCTTTGGCTTCGGCTTCGGCTTGGCTTTCGCTTTCGCTGCTCCCTGCCCAGGAGGGGGTGGCGGGGCGGGCGCCGCTGCCCCCGCGGCCGCCACCGCCTTGGCTTTCGCCTTTGCAGCGTTATCCCCACGACACCTTTTTTCATGATTGCCCAAGGGTCGGCACAGAAGACCCGGGGGCGGCGGGGGGAACACCAAACCACACTTAGAACATGTCCGGTTCAGTATGGCGCTCCCCCTGCACTTTGACTCATGTGCGAAGCGGTATCCCTCCTTTACAAAAATTAAGCACTTTCGGCACCGCGCCATGCCAGCAGGTATGGCAAAGCCAGCAACCGTACACCTAGTAATATGTCCGTACAAGTCTTTGCTAAGCACCCTTAGGCCGCATTTCTTGCAGTAGTCCACATCCTTCCAGTGCAGCTCGGCTACCGCCGGGGGAGACGCCATCCACCGGGCGGACTGTGTCGACACATACCCTCTTCTCCCCAAATCCGCCGCCCTATCCGCCAGCTCATTATCATGGGCCCCGGTGTGCCCGTACACGTGTTCCCACGTAATAATGCGCTTCTCCCCCACACGCGCGGTGAGGCTCTGCACTGAGTCCGCAAGCTCTTCATTCGACTTGGCCTCCCATAGGCCGCGCGCTATGTTTGCCGCGTACTCCGAGTCATACCGCACGTGTACGGGCACGTGACCATCATCAGGGGCCTCCTCAAGCAACCAATGCATCAGCTCGCCAATTGCCGATAGCTCTGCGGTGTTATTTGTCTGGCACCGAGCTCCCAGCCACCTGTGATCCCATGCACGACTCGCAACCGGAGCATGAAGGACATAGTCTGGGACTAGCCCGGGAAGCCCCGGGTCCTCAATCCGCCAGACCACCACGCCCCAGCCCGCTTCCCCATCCCGGCCAGACCCGTCTGTCGCTGCCCACCACGCAGTCGGCGCCGCGACGTGCGGACCCATGACCACGGGCAGAAACATCCCGGACTGCGTCTGTAGCGCCTCCTGAAGCTCTAACCTCGCTGGACAATTGGGCTTCTGACGACGCACGTCACACCCCAAATACTCCTGACAGTCCGGGCACTGGTGGGAGATGCTCGTAACCAGATGGGGGTCGCGGACCGAGTGTGCCTCATCGTAGTGATACTGCAGCTGGTTCCCTCTATCGAACACTCTCCGGCACACTGGACAGCCATACCCGTCGTCGCCCTCCGGAGGGGGAGAGGGAGGGGCCGGCGGAGGAGGAGGAGGAGGACGGGGGGGAGGAGGAGGAGGAGGAGGAGGAGGAGGAGGAGTAGGAGGAGGACGCGGGCGGAGGAGGAGGAGGAGGAGGAGGAGGAGGAGGAGGAAGATGAGGAGGAGGCAGAGGAGGAAAAGGAGGAGGAGGAGGAGGAGGAGGCGGAGGCGGGCCCCCAAGGGCCCCGGCTGACGGCGCCGGGAGCGGCCCCGTGGGCGTCCGCCGCGCTGGCGACGCACTCACCAAATTGCCCCCTTGCGAGGGCGACGTGCACGTTCGAGAGGACGGCTGGCCATTTCGGCGGCCGACGCACGGGCGGCGCACGGGCGACGAATGCGCGACGCACCTCCTGTCGCGAAGGGGGGGGGGTCAGCACGCCGGTCGCTTTACTGGGCCTCAACACACCCAGTGATTAAGGGCACGTCGGTGTTCAGCGGTAGGGACTCCAGCGGCAAAAGCCGAATCGATTTTACGCTTCCATCCTTTTCGGTTCTGGGCCCGGCGAAACCAACCGAATCCCCTTCCTGTCCCACTTCCCCCTGACTACAACCCTCGATCCACCAACTCGCCACAATGCAGTGAGACGTTGATTGAGGACCACACAGACTCTGCCACGAATGATGAAGGTCCACACCTCCGTTCCTACGTCATACTCCCGGACCCCGTTTTGATGAAAATTGACATCTGAAAACATAGCAAACTCCCACCGCCTAACTGCCATCAGGGTAAAAAAACACTCGATTTTTAGTTGGGATGGCTCATAACCACGACTCGATCCCAGTTTGCGAGTGTTCCAGGTTCCACCCCGAAGGAACATCTCCTCCGAGCCTCTCTTCTTTTTGGCGCCGCGTAACAGAGACAAACGATAAAAAGCACGACAACGTTTCGCTCGAGACTTCCTCGCTTTGCTTATCGTCTTCCATTTCCGAATTCTCTGCTTCCGTTCAAGGCGCCTGGTCTGCCGTGCCGTGTTCTGAGGGCCTTGTGAGACCACCAACCGACGACGCGTGTCACAAGGCGCTCGTTGCGACTCGCCGGGGCCAGAGGCGAAGCCGCCTACCCTCTCAGGACGCGAGGCAAGGGAAAGGCCCGGAGGCCCAACCGCCCTCGCCGTCGTATCGCCCTGGAGGGGTTGTGCACTCCCGCCCCCAATCTGAACCAAGGACCCGGGAGAAGACCCGTGAGACGCCAACACCGACGCACCCCCCCCAGCACCCACCGGTTCTTCCCCCCCAGCGACACGAGAGGGGGCACCCCTATAGGGGTTGGGGTTAGCCACGTCCATAGCACCACAAGTACATACAGATAACAAGCAAATGATGCTAGACACGGCGAGGGATAACCGACTCCGACATCCTACACTCCTGATCCCTCCCTTACCCCCATCCCTGGTGGACGCGTTGCCCGAGGAGCGGCCACGAGGAGGCCCGTGCACTACAGTGGTGCCGTATAATGCATCGCAGAGCAGGCGCGCCAGAGAATTTATCAGCACAGGGCGCGCCGCACACCAGAGGATGGTGTTCCGTCGGGCCACCGTGCCCTCCAGGGTGGTGAGACCAGGGAACTGGGCCCACTAATGGGGCTCAGGCGCCTCAAAGCCATATTACCTCAATCCCTCCTCCTCCTCCTCCTCCTCCTCCTCCTCCTCCTTCATCTCCTTCTCCTCCTCCTTCACCTCCTCCGTCTCCTCTCCTCCTTCTCCTCCCCCTCCCTCCTCCTCCTCCTCCTCCTTCTCCTCCCCCTCCCTCCTCCTCCTCCTGGACTCGACATTGCGGAAAGGTTCGATCCTAACCGCCATCAGAAAGAGACCGCTCTACTCCTGCTCCTCAGCAGCAGCGGCGGCAGCAGCAGCCACGGCGGTGGCGGCGAGCGCGGCAGCCAGGGCCGCCACGCGGGGCCTGGCGTCAGGAAGGCGCACGGGTGGAAGCTGATCCACCGCTGGGCCTGACGACGCGGGCCTGAGGACGGGGTCACCGCCTCCCGCGCGGACGAGCCGCCCTGTCTGCCACGGCTCGCTCAAAGGGTGCCACTGGTGATTCACCTGGTGCCGCCTCCGAGCTAGCCCCCTCAGCACCCGCCCACCCCACGACGAAGCTGGAGCAGGCCCAGGGCAGGCGGCGGACAAAGCTGGCACAGTGCCTGGTCCGCTCGCGCCGCACAAGGCACACGCCACGCACCACTGACCAGTGGTGGACAATTTGAACGGATGCACAACGTGCTGCCTCCCTCTTGCGATCGCCATTCGAGCGTGCCCCACGTCTGCAGAGAGCAAGCACTGAGGGGTGACGAGGGGAGGAGGCGGCAAGACGACCAGCGACGGGGCGCGGGGTTTCGCCTCGCGCCGCTGGGAGACATGAAGAGAGTCAATCGCCACCATGGTAGGCCCGATCTTGGCAACCCATGTGGCGAGCTCTGTGAGAACCTTCGCGCGGGCATCAACCTTAGCTCGAGCCGAGCTGGGAAGACGGGAAAAGTCCGAGGCCTGCTTAGCATATTCGTCAGCGAGGTCGTTGCCCTCCTTGTGAAAGGCAGAAGCTCGGCCGCTCTCAACGGCAGCACGTGTGGCATGTCCTTTAACTTTGACCAGAGAGGAAGCTCCCACTCCTCCCCAGTCCGCAATCTTTTGCCACACCATGCGCCAGAGCTCTGCCCAAGCACTCTTCGCGCAGCACGTCTTTTCTGGGCCGCCCTCGAGCACACCATCCACTACAAAGCCAGAATCGCTGTAGAAGGTGGTGCCAGGCAGCGAGAAACAGAGACCCTGCAGCAACGCCCATAACTCTAGAGCGTCGATGTCTGCAGCAGGGTGCTGAAACGAGCCAGCAAAAATGGCCTCGGCACGATAAGAGTCCTGGGAAACCTGGACGCAGGACCAGCCGAGGCCCTGCTGGGCCAGCGACATGAAACCGTCGCGCAAACTTCCGTCCAGGACGACGTGGCCCTGCAAGAAACCACCCCCGTCCTCCTCCTCCTCCTCCTCCTCCATTTCCTCCTCCTCCTCCTCCTCCTCCTCCTCCCTCCTCCTCCTTCTCCTGCTCCCTCCCTCCCTCTCCTCCTCCTCCTCCTCCTCCTCTTCCTCCCCCCTCCCTCCTCCTCTCTCCTCCCTCCTTCCTCCTCCTCCTCTCCTCCTCCTCCTCTGGTACTGAAGGTCCGAGGTCCGAAGTTTGAGGGCGTTTTCGGCGCTTCTCAGGCGCTGTCCTGCCTCGGGATGCCTCTGAGCGGCCGTGCCTCGCCGAGAGCGTTCCCAGCGTGCCCAGGTCGTTCCGAGCAGACGCCAGAGAGCAGAGTTATGACCTGCAAACCAGGCTTCTTCGAAAGAGCACCACGGAAGACTTTTGGCCTCGTCGCCGTCCTCCTCTTCACGATCCCACATCGTCCAGAGGATGACGAGTTGAGACAACGGCAGTTGGCCTTCGGGGGACCCCCTCGTCGCCACGGCTGGACTCAGCTCGGAAAACTCGTGCGTTTGGACCCCGGGAGGGGCTCGGGGCCGGGGGCCGATTTCGGGCTGCCGCTGTATACGTACAGTCGCCCTTTTCCTACATCTTCTTCGCGAGGGAGAACAATGGGTGCACATACGTTCGGCAGCGTCCGCGCGGATTTTCTTGGATCGGCATTGGCACGGCGCGCCAGACACCTCCACGGAGCAGAGGCTTCCTCCCTCGGACCCCCGGCGGTTGTGGTTTCTTTTCGAAGCGTGGGCATCTGAAGGTCTCGGCCCCTTCCGCAGCACCAGCGCTTCCTGCTCCTCCTCCTCCCCCTCCTCCCTCCTCCTCCTCCTCCTCCTCCTCCTCCTCCTCCTCTTCCTCCTCCTCCTCCTCCTCCTGCTGCTCCTCCTCCTCCTCCTCCTCCTCCTCCTCCTCCTCCTCCTCCTCCTGCCTCCTCCTCCTCCTCCTCCTCCTTCATCTCCTTCTCCTCCTCCTTCACCTCCTCCGTCTCCTCTCTCTCTCCTTCTCCCCCGCCTCCTCCTCCTCCTCTCTCCTCCTCCTCCTCCCCCTCCTCCTCCCTCCTCCTTCCTGGACTCGACATTGCGGAAAGGTTCGATCCTAACCGCCATCAGAAAGAGACCGCTCTACTCCTGCTCCTCAGCAGCAGCGGCGGCAGCAGCAGCCACGGCGGTGGCGGCGAGCGCGGCAGCCAGGGCCGCCACGCGGGGCCTGGCGTCAGGAAGGCGCACGGGTGGAAGCTGATCCACCGCTGGGGCCTGACGACGCGGGCCTGAGGACGGGGTCACCGCCTCCCGCGCGGACGAGCGCCCTGTCTGCCACGGCTCGCTCAAAGGGTGCCACTGGTGATTCACCTGGTGCCGCCCCGAGCTAGCCCCCTCAGCACCCGCCCACCCCACGACGAAGCTGGAGCAGGCCCTCCTCCTCCTCCTCCTCCTCCTCCTCCTCCTCCTCCTCCTCCTCTCCTCCTCCTCTCCTCCTCCTCCTCCTGCCTCCTTCCTCCTCGTCCTCCTCCTGCATCCTCCTCCTCCTCCTCCTCCTCCTCCTCCTCCTCCTCCTCCTCCTCCTCCTCCTCCACTGACGCGGTGGAGCTCGCCCCAGCCCGTCCCCAGCCGCCAAGGCCTCCAGCAGGGCCGCCGGGGTGAGCGGCAATCGCGCGTGGCACATGTCGCAGCTCCAGGCGGGCCAGGGGCCGCCGCACCGGCCGGGGCCCTGTGAGGCCCTGGGGTCCTGGCCGTTGCCGCGCTCTCGCAGCAGGCGGTCTCGCCGGGGGCTCCTGCCCCGGGGCCCTCACAGCTCGGGCCGGCTCGAAGGCTCGGGTGCGGTCTGGGGCTGCTGGCGTGATTTTCTTCGTGGCGTTGCAGATTTGTCGCGGCGTCGGATCGCAGGGAAGGAGAGGGGCCCTGGTTGGTTCGGGGTCCCCTCCTCGAGGAAGAAGCGCCACCAACGCCCAGACCACCCGAGGAGAAAGGGCTGCGGCGACAGTGGCAGCGCTGGGTAGGGTACCCCCCCCCGCGCCATATGCCGATTACCCCCAGACGTCCGACGATCTGACTTGTCTCCGATGCGCAGCCTCCAGAGGACCCGACCCATCCCCTGGGGCCCGTTTTCCGTTCCAGATCCGTTTCTGCTGGCCCCGGGGTCCGAGGACGGGCCCCGCGGGGTCGAAGTCGAGGCACACCGTCCGGATCGAGTTCAAAGCAGCTTCGGAGAGCTTGGCCCCGCGTGATGCCAGGGCTGTGCCTCGGGCCGCTGGCGGCCGCTCGGGACGACCGGGGCGCCTCCGGAGCGCCCTCGACGAGGCGCAGCCGCCGAAAGAGCATCCCGAAGCGGGAACCACCTCTGCTGGCAACCGAGGGAAGCGAGCCTAGATTTAGGATGTTCCAACCTACTTTAGCCTTGACTAGGGGAACAAGAACTAGCACAAGCATAGGAACTCGGAGGTCCGCGCAGATTTCTCGGATCCGCGCTGGACCCCCCTGGCGGCGCCTCCGGCGCCGCCCCTGGCGCGCTCCGCGCGCCGGGGGGGGGGGTCCAGCGCCGATCCGAGAAAGCCGCGCGGACCTCCGAGTTTTTATGTTTATGTCATTCTTCGTTCTCCGATTGATCACCAGACAGAATCTCGAGCACCAAGACAGTGCCGAAACTCGAGTGCTTTCACGCGTCGGGCCCCGGGAGGCGGTACTCGTTCGACACTGTTGCGACGCTCTTCTGGGTGCTCGAGATTCTTTCTGGGATGTGGCCCTTGAGTGCGATGGGAGCAACAGAAGCCTAGAGCGTCGAACGCCCAGCCTCTTGCGCGCCGCCGGCCCTACAGCCAACCCGCACAGTAAGGATGCGCAACCTTCCCAAGGGGCGACTCTCCCTGGCCAGCCTCGCACGAAAAGGGCCGGCGTGGCCCTCCGAGGCCCTCGCATCCGTACCGCGCATCCTCCCTATACGGGTTGACCGTATCCTGGAACGCATTCCAGCCATGGCCTTCTCGCGCGGCCGATCCCTGCCGCTGCTCGCCTGCGTGGCCGCAGCGGCGGCCGCCGGCGCGCTGCTCGACGTGGCCTTCGCCTCCGCGGGGTCGGCGCCGAGCCTCCGCGGCGGGGCTCCCGCGGCGCGCGTGGCGCTGGCGGCGGAGGCGAAGGCGGCGAAGAAGGCGAAGCAGGCCTCGCCGGAGGAGGAAGGGACCCAGAGATCCAACGCATTGAAAAAGTCAAGACGGAGGTTTTTCGTATTTCTCGGCCTCGAGGGGCCCTCGCTGGGCCCCGGGACCGTCAACAAAAACGACTCAGGATGAAAAACCGGCCTTGGGGAATGGGTCGAGATTTCCGGGGACCCCGTATTGAAAAAATCACGACATAGGATTTTTGGGGGTGACGGGATGATGGTGCAGCTGCTGCTGCCGGTGCTGCTTCTGACGGGGGTGCTGCACATGGTGGTGGTGGTGTTGCTGGTCGGGGCGATGGTGGTGGTGGGGGTGGTGGTGGTGGTGGTGGTGGTGGTGGTGGTGGTGGTGGTGGTGGTGGTGGTGATAGTCGGGGTGATAGTCGGGGTGATGGTGATGGTGGAGGTAGTGGTAGTGGTGGTGACGATGATGGTGATGGAAAGGATGGTGGTGAAAGTGGTAGTGACGGTGTTTGTAGTGACGATGTTTGTGGTGATGATTGTGGTGATGGCGATGTCGATGTGGGTGCTGTCGATCGGCTTGGGGTGGTGGAGCGGAGTGGAGCGGAGTGGAGCGGGCAGGCGTTGCCCGGGGGGTGGAGTCCATGAGGGGCGGGAAGGGGGGCGCAGGAAGAGGAGGAGGAGGAGGAGGAGGAGGA